ATCGGGCAGTGTTTCGTTCTGCTGTGCATGGGGTCGCTATGAGTCGGAAACGACTTGATGGCACTTAATAACAACAACAACAACCAAGAGCTTAAGGTTTACCAGTAACTTTGAAAGCCTGGGGGTTGGTCTCCAAGGGACTTGAGCAGTCTTTGATGTCCAAATCACTAAACTGGGGCCTTGGGGCTGGGGCTAGGGTGGGAAAGTGTTCTCACCCTGCCCCCATTTGATCAGGTCTCTTAGCTAAGTTGTATTTTATTGGAAGACATCTCTGATGGGGTTATTAGTGCTTGACTAAGTGCATGTAACACAGATTCCTGCCCATGGCTTCGTGTTGCCACTGTGTCCAGCAGATCTCCTCCTTCTACTTTGAAACCATTTCATCCAGGAGCTGAATTAGATGCCCCAGACTATCTGGAGGGCCCTGAGGCTCACAGACGAGAGCCTTACAGGCAAGGTTCTGCTTTCGGCAGTTTAGCCAGTATAACTTATTTAGTGATTTACTTGTAACTTACTTGATTGATTTCCTTGGCAAAAATCTAGCCAGTAAGTTTTCATGTAGTGGGAACACGAGAATGGGGTGGGGGAGGGGGCGAGCGGGAATCCAGTTGCAGAGTATACATTATCATTGTGGAAGGAATTTGTGTTTTTATTTATCTAGTTGGTATGGCATGTCCTAGATCCTATATTTATACGAATATAAATTTGCAATAAAATCAATACAGATGATGTCACAACCTTTCAACAAGGCCACATTACTTCTCCGGAATTTTTGCAGTAGCTTGAGTGGAAATAGCCGCATTTTATCCATTGAAAGCTGCAAAGCTCTTGTCTGTTGGTCTTCGTGTATACTTATGCATTTAAGACTCCGTCTTCCAGGGTAAGCACAGATTCACTGGAGAATCAATGCATGTTTTGAGAAAGGCCTTATGGGAAAATATATCTTTCGAGACTTGGAGGCTCTGTCTCTGGCCTGTCGGCCCCGGCAGTGTTCCGTGAATGACCTCAATCGTGTTGTTTTCCTTCCCTCTTTGGTGGTTGAGGATGGACGGACGATGAATTCGGTCTCTGTCCTAGTCCGGGCTCAGCTGGGCAGTGACTGTGATGCCATTGTGCTCACTGGGGACGGCTGCCCGGTTTGTATTGCTATGGATCCCAGCCTTCCTGACATCGCCAACCCCTTTTCTCTCAGTTCCACCATCTCATTAAGCAAAAAAAGTTGCTGTTTGGACCACAAAGGCTGTGCCATTGAACAGAAGACATCCCAGGGAGGTGGGGGATGGAAGAATATTGAAAGGGCATCTAAATCTGCTGCCGCTGTAAGCATTGTGCTCTGAGACGGTGGCGGTATCAGAAAGTGTGGCTATAATGTATAGCATTGTTTGCAACGTTGCCTTTTCAGAAACCCAGGCATTCTTTTTGTGTTAGGTCCTTAAGCTTTTGGTGTGGAAAGAGTACCCACCTTTAGAGATGGTCCTCACTTTCCCATGGGATTTAACTGACGCAGTTAGCAGGGGAAGAATTTATTCCTTCTTCCAGGGAGTAGACACTTAGCACTGTCTCCTACTTCCTGTCATAGTATTACTGACCAGCATGTGGCAGCTAGCAGGCCGAGGTCAGAAATCATGAGGGAATACGTGCTCTACGCCTGTCAATGGATCATGTTTTGCAGGAGTTTGTTTGTTTAGTTAGGACCTTACCTTACAAGTCTACGGAACGTTTTAAGAAATGGTCCAATGTCCATATTTAGTCATGGTGTTATTGTTAGATGCTGTCCACTCAGTTCTGATTCATAGCAACCCTATGGATAATCCTCACAGTCACTGCTGTGTTGTTGCAGCCACTGTGTCAGTCTGTCTCGTTGAAGGTCTTCCTCTTTTTTTGCTGACCCTCTACCTTACCGAGCATGATGTCCCTCTCCAGGAACTGGTCCCTCCTGATTACGTGTTCAAAGTACGAGAGATCAAGTTTTGCCTCCTCGCCTCTAAGGAGCATTCTGGCTGTACTTCTTCCACGTTCGATTTGTTGGTTCGTCTGGCAGTCCATGGTATATTCAGTGTTCTTTGCCAGCTCCCCAATTCAAAGGCATCAGTTCTTCTCCAGTCTTCCTGGTTCATTGTCCAGCTTTCGCATGCACATGAAGCGATTGAAAAGACCATGACTTGATATGTCTTCACAGTGACATCTTTGCTTTTCACATGCAAGATACTTAACACTATGTTTACCTAAAACAGTGGAGGGCAAAGGATGGCCCACTGCTTGCTTTTGTGCTGCCAGTGAGCTAAGAATGCTTTTCATATTGTTAAAGGGTTGGGAGGCAGGGAGCAAAGAAGAATCTTCAGACTAAGTGATAGAGACCAGATGTGTCCCACAGGCCTAAAATATTTACTATCAGCCATTTCCTGAAAAAAAAAATCGCTGACACAAAATAAGAAAAGTTGTACTGGAAAGACCAAGCTGCTCATAATTATAAAGCTCTATGACAGCAACTCTTCCTTTACAAATGTTTTCCTCCCTTTTCTTGATTTTTGAGAGCTTAACTGATTAATTTGTCATTGATCCTCGGGAACTGTTTCTAAGTGGCTAACTCTAGGATTGCAGGGATCTTAACAAAAATACATAAAATGTGAAAGGATCTGATGCATAGGCTAGTCTATTTGACCTCCAGCCTCAGGACTCAGCACTTGCTGGAGGATGGTGGCAGGTTTGATGATAAGGGCCTTAGTGCCCCAAACGGTGAGGAGAGCGCCATCACACAGAACAGAACCACCTACAAGGTTAACGGTATTCTATCATTAACACAAACCAATCTTCTGATGGCCTGGGTGTGAAAAAAGAATCTAGCACCTTAGCGGAGTCATTAATGTATTTGAGAGACAGCAGGTGCGCTGGGCCAAGTCCAGGTGGCGACCCTTTGGAACACCTGAATCGGTTTCCCTCCGTCCACTCCGCCGGTTTTCCTGGCTTCTTTCTTGCACTGATGAGATGCTCCCAGTGTACCTTGCATGCCCTCTGAGCCAGTATAGCACAGCAGCCCTTATGCTAAATTATTTGTTGAATCAAAGACCTTGAGGAGCCTGGGGGGTACCAACTGTTAAGCACTCGGCTGTTAACCGGGAGGTTGCTGATTTGAGTCCACCCAGAGAGGTGTCTCAGAAGAGAAACCTGGTGATCTGCTTTCAGAATTCAGCCACCGAACGCCCCGTGGAGTATGTTTCTACCCTGACACCAGTGGGCCGTCCTCAATCAGAGTCGTCGCCACAGCAACTGCAACTGGGGATCAAAGGCATAGCCACTTGGCAAGTTAGCCCCCCACCGCCTTTAAATCACCCAAACCAAAACCAAACCCACTGCCATGGAATCAATTCTGTTCTTAGCAACACCATAGGCCAGAGTAGAACTGCTCCAGAGGGTTTCCAAGGCTGTCATCTTTACAGGAGCAGACTGCCTCATCTTCCTCCCATGGAGTGGTTGGTGGGTTTGAACCACTGACCTGCTGACCTTTTGGCTCACAGCTGAGCACTTTAACTACTGCACCCCCAGGGCTCCTTCTTTAAATCATAGCCATTGACATATGGGCAGTGTGGACGCCATGCTCCCATGGGCCTGAACTTCCAGCCTTGCACAGTGGAGCCTTTCTCTGCTGTCTCAGGACGTTCTAGAATCTTGTTGCTACTATCTTCCCAGCCAGACTCTGTTTCCCAGTTAGAAAGGAAACCGGCCTTCCAGAGACCTGCAGGACTGTTCAGGCTGGGCAGTGATGATGCCGTGGTTCAGGCTGTCCCACTTCCCGATTTGCAATAACTGATAGTTCCATCAGTCTGGCTCAGAGCATGCCGCAGGAGGTGTCCAAATCTGGATTCAGAACTCTGCAGTTCCACATGTACAGTTGTCCCGTTGGCTTTTCTGATCTGAGTCCTGTGCTCCTTGTTAATCTGGGAAGCCCATTTGAGGAAGGTGCGCGAAGAGCCACTTTAATGTCATCATGTGGTGCAGGCTCTTAGAAAGCAATTCTGACTTTGTTGTTGTTGCTATGTGCCATCGAGTCGGCCCCGACTCATAGCAACCCCTCCTTGGGTTTCCGAGGCCCAACCTTCCTTCCGAGGAGTGGCTGGTGGGTTTGAACCGCCAGCCGTCTGGTTAGCAGGCAAGTGTCTTAGCCACTATGCTACCAGAGCTCCCAATTCTGACTTTAGTGATAGGAAAATGAGGGCGGGCTGCAGGGAGGAGCCACGGAGACCGCGCCGTATAGGTAGGCACTCAGCTGCACTGATTTCTGCCACCAGTTCATGTGTCTGCATTTTACATCTCTTGAGTGGTAAGCCCCTTCGTTGTATTGACTGTTTTATATATTTCTTCACTAACCTGAGAGCCTTGGTGGTGCAGTAGTTAAAGCACTCAGTCTCAAACTGAAAGATCAGCATTTTGAACCCATCAGCCACTCTGCTGCAGAAAGAAATATGGCAGTGTGCTTCTATAAAGATGACAGCCTTGGGAACTCTGTGGGGCAGTTCTGCTCTGTCCTGTAGGGTCACTAACTCACTGCCGTCTACTCAATTAGACTCATAGTGACCCCTCCTTGGGTTTCTGAGGCAGTATCATTATGGAAGTAGATGGCCCAATCGCCCTTCCAAGGAGTGGCTAGTCGATTTGAACCGCTAGCCTTCTGGTTAGCAGTCAGATGCCTTAGGCACTACGCCACCAGAGCAAAATTGAATTCACGACAGTGGGTTTGGGTTGTGGATCACTAGCCTGGAACCACATAGCAGTTAGCCGGACTTTCAGCTGATCACTGTTTTAAACCTGTATGTTATCTTTGCAGAGTAATGCAAGCTTAATTTACATCATATTTTCACTCCATTTGTTAGGTCCTTTTCAGTTTATAATTGTGTGTGTGTGTGTGTGTGTGTGTGTTCCTGAATTTAGAACAGGAAACAGGAAGTTTAGGCCACATTTAAGATAAATTTACAGAAAGTCATGTCCACCCTCCAGGAAATACCCTGCTTATTATGTTTTAAAAAATGCAAATGGTTCTCGTTAGGCAATATCGTAAAAGATAGAAGTGGTCAATGTACCATCTCAATTTTTAGCATTAACCATAGCAAAACATCTGATAGAGATTACAAAATAAGTTTCTTTCTGAAGGCTTGAAGATTTTTTAATGCTACCCTGTAATTAACTGAAGTTGGAAAAATAAGACTCCTTCTGTGTCTGATTTTAGAAGTTTCCAAACCTAAGTAGCTGTTTGCTCTGCATCACTTAGTGGTTTCCTCTCGCAGATTCTTAAACTCTCGTTCACTTTCCTACCTACTGCCATCAAGTCGATTCAGACTTCCAGCGCTCCTACAGGACTGAATAGAACTGCCCAAGGCTATCAAACTTTACGGAAGAGACTGCCTCATCTTTCTCCCCTGTTGTCGTCAGCTGCTGTTGAGTGGACCCCCAGCTCATGGCAGTCCCGTGTGCAAAGGAACAACATGCTGTGTGGTCCTGTGCCAGCCCCATGGTCAGTTGGGAATCGGCCCTTCGTGCTCCATCAGGTTTTCACTGGCTGATTTTCCGAAGCAGACCCAGACCTTTCTTCCCTAGTCCATCTTAGTCTGAAAGCTCTGCTGAACCCTGTTCAGCATCCTGGTGACACGTGGAGGCTGCACCTGTGGTGCATTGGCTGGGAATCAAACCCAGGTCTTCTGCATGGAAGGGGAGAATTCCACCACTGAACCACCAATGCCCCCTTTTATATACCGTACATGTATACTAACTACTGGATACCTATATGGTTATTTTCGTAGGCTTGACTTTCAGTAGGAGTTATGGTGGTACAGTGGTTAAAACATTTGATTACTAACCAAAAGATCAGCAGTTCGAACCCACCATCTGCTCTGTGGAAGAAAATATGTGGCAGTCTGCTTTCATAAAGATTTACAGCCTTAGCAACCCTATAGGGCAGTTCTACTCTGTCCTCTAGGGTCTCTAGGAATTGGAATCAGTTTGATGGCAGTGGATTTGGTTTTTGGTTTTGGGTTATTTTCAATAGGAAAACAAGTAATTGAGTGCCAAACCATGCAGTGTCCTATGACCCATTTAATCATACCAACGTGGATCCCTCTTTTTCAAACCATGAGACCGTAATCCAGGCACCAGGGTCATGTCGGCGTGAAGTTCTGGCCTAGTATTGGGAAGAGGAGCTGCCTTTGCAAACCATGTAACATCCAAAGTATCCCACACCTGTACTGATCAGATGTTGCCACTGTGGTTGTTCTGTCCTAGATTCAGTGCCTGTTGGGACTGTCACCGTCAGAGATGACAGCAAAGGTAAGATTTCTTTTTTAACTCAGGAAAAAAAAATGAGTACATTTTTTTTTTAATTGCTGCTTTTCAAATTTTTCCTATCTGTCTAAATGCTGTCTTTTACAGAGGAGTTACTGTGTGCCAAGCGTTGAGCTAGATAATTTAAAGCTGTTCATTATATAACTTTGGACTCTTCAACGAAAGCTTTTGTTTCTTTGTTATTTAAACAGAGGGCGAAATTAGGGCTCCAAGCAATTTAATGACTGGATCAGAATCTGAAGCTGGTATGTGGCAGGAGTAGTAGGTGAACCTTGTTCAACACTGATTCCAGAGTCCCCCAGCTTTTCATTGTGCTACATGGCCTCAATAGAAATACAGAGGTGGCCATTATGATAATAAAAATATACTCTTTATTCTGATATGTTTTGACCTAGAAACAAAACAGAGGCACTGGTTGTGTCAGTCCCTGCAAAAGCTAAGAATTCCAAACTGCTCATCCCGTTCCATACTCTGTGCGCAGTCCTCTGGGCTCCACTGACTAGAGGCCCACAGGCAGCATTAGATCCTCAGACATGTCTCTCACATGTTTCTTAACATTGAATATGATTTTTTTTTTCACCAAAAGCTTAGCGTGTTAAGATTGAAAATCCTAGACGTTTGACTATAGAGCTAGGTGGTAGTTTATACACTGTCTAAAATATCTCCAGTATTCTAACAGTATTCTAGCAGTATTAGATTCTGAAAGGACGCCTCATTGCATATTGTAAAGAAGGAAGACTCAGTGCTGTGTCAGGAGTGTGCAGTATAAGAGCTCTGATGAACTAAGTCATATGAAATTAGGAATCTGGGGGATTGTGAGATGAATCTAATTACGATTTTTTTTTTTCCTTTTCCTATCTTACTGCCTTTAATTTCCTTAAGGGGTAAATTTTATTGTATAAAGTCTTGGTGTTCTCATTCCATGATGAAGAAGACCCAAGAAACAGATCAGAAAACTAAAAGTCAAAATTCTCTTGGATGCTTTGCTAGATAATCTTTTCCAGCATTGAGGAGTAGGCCGGATGAGTGGGTACTTAGGGGCCAGGGAAGGGAGGAGGACCAGAGTCCTTCCTAGCCATTAGTCCATGTGGCTCCTGGCAACCATTTCTAACTAGGAACTCTAGTCACTTAATTACAATGGGGAGAGATGGCCAAGATGACAGGCTCTGGGCCCCTATCCCTGAATTGTATCTAAAAATGAGCATTATTAGCCTCTGCCCCCACTTTATAGTAACCTTAGGCTGAGTGTCCTGTGTGTGCCTCATGTATGTGTATTTGTAGAGCAGATGTGCATACACGTGGGCATTGACCTCTCACACCTTTTTTGGCCCAGCAGCATCCTAATGTAAGTAGACGTGGAGGAACCCCTCAGTAAGTATGTGTTGGTTAGCTGATGAACCATGTGATGATTTCTCTTGAGGAGGACCTCTATGGTGTCTACCCTACACTCTCTTCATTTCATAGGCGTCGTTTTGGAAAGATGGTGATCCTTGGTATTCTCATCCTGTATATGCAAGATACTGGCGGCATTATCGCCAAGCCATGGCTTGGATGCAAAGCCACCACCATGCCTACAGGAAGGCCGTGGATTCCTATTTCAGTGCCCTGTGGGCCCCCTCCCCTGAAGCTTTTCCCTTCGGCTATGGATATCCTCAGTCTTCCTACGACCATCGCTCGGCGCCCCAGGACTACCACCACACATACCCGCGTTTGAAAGGGCCTGGAAAGCGCCCACGTGACAGCCATCGAGTCCATGCATCCACCAGAGAACAGCAGGCTTCATCAGAGGAGGAGGAGACAGACGAGTCAGACGGGGAGGTTGAATGCGACCTGAGCAACATGGAGATCACTGAGGAGCTACGCCAGTACTTTGCAGAGACCGAGAGGCACAGAGAAGAGCGACGTAAGGCCAGGCCCGGGGCCTCCCCATGCTTCTTCTCCTTGCTTGTCTTTTGCGTTCTTTCCTCCCTAACGGTAAAGTTATTTTATAACTCCTCATTTGGGTACAGATAATACTCCTCAAATATGTTAGCTTCCAGAGTTATTTTAGTATAGGACTTTTTTTTTCAGTTCTACAACATAGCTTATCCTAATAGCACCTCTACAGTTCATTGAATGTCAGGCACTCCAGCAGATGGGGTGTGTGGTATGTATGTATGTTTTATCCCTAATCTACACAGTAGTCCCTCAAGGTATTAAAAGCATTTTATATGTGGGGAAAAAGAGCCTTCAGAAGACTTGTTCCAGGGTGCCAACTGGTCATTTTTTGTTAGGATTTGCACCAAGGTCTGCCCACTGTGCTCCTGCCAGATGCCAGGATTTTCCGTACAATTACTAGGTTCCTCAGATGTCATTGCCACTTCACTGGCACGTAGCTCTGAGAGGTGCCCTGTGCTGCCAAGCAAAAAGCAGTGTGAACCTGAGTACAGAAATGCCCAGCACCTCAAACGTCCCCGTTTGGGCCTGCACTGAGGCTGGTTGTGCCTAGGGTTCAAGAGTTGCAATGGTGGTCTTACAGCTTCAGTCAGAAAGCAAGAATTTTCTATTATAATCTCTTCCTATCTTGCTACAAAGAGCTCGGACTGCTTTCTGTGCTCTCCGGAGTAGTAAAGCTCACCAGACCATGTGCATGTAAAGTGCTGCTGACAGACATGCAAATGCTTTTCTCCCTGTTCTACCAGTATCTGGTCTCACGATTTTTCTCAGTTGACATCTAGTTGTATACCATTTTGCCTGGAATTTCCTTTGAAGCTCTGGGATCCACGATTGTCACCTGTGGCTGTTTCCCTTGTTTTTTTCCGAGTCTCTCTTGTAGAGGGTCTGGATAGTGCACCTGCCTAGTCCACCATCTTGGACCCACAATCCTTACCTAGAATTTTCTAATAAACACAGAAGCCTAGGGGTGGGAGGGTGTCATTCCCCTCATAAATTATCTGTATGTTCCTGACAATTGACTAGCATTTATTGATCCCCACTGGGTCCCAGAACTGAGCAATAGACTTTATATAAAGGATGTGTCCTTTAGTAGCTCTGCCTGTGTTTCCTCACTAAGCTACTTCTGGTTTCTCTACTCCTCTTTGGATTAAACTGTTACCTTCTTTGATGCATATTAGAAAGTGTACCCAAGCAAGTGTCTTTAAGACAGTATTTTTTATTGCACGTATAATACGTTTCTTTCCTTCATCTCCAGCAATAATTTGACCTTTTTTTCAAAATACATGCGAAACAACCGTTGGTGTGAGTTAATGGGTGAGAGTAAACATTGGAGCAGGACCACATTTGGTTGGAGTGTTGTTTGTTATGGCTTCAGAAAAAGAAAATATGTCAGCCTTACCAGAAGGTAAAATAACATTTATTTCCATCCGAAGATGGATATTATAATTACAGATGGAAGCAACCCCGGTCATCTGTATGGCCCTTTTGCTTTATCTGCTGATTTCAAAGAAACCTGATAGTTAATCAGTTTTAGAAAATGGTTATGAATTAAATAAAAATAAAATAATGGAATGTGTCCTTCTAACCCAGGAGAAAAATGTAAGCAGTTAAGTTACAGATACGGTTAAGAGCCTTCCCGGTTCCTACCTCTTGCTACTGTCAGGTATAATTCTAGGTAGTTAAATACAAGTCCTGAAAATGACCTGCTAAGTTGTATTTCTGTATGAATTCTAAGTCTTAAACCAGACTTTTTCACATCATGTTCCATAAAGTTCTAAACTTGCTGTGATTCTTTGGAGACTTTATAAAGTGAGTTCGACTTGGGGTGCTTTAGAAGCTTAATGAACTTTCTAAGTTGTTTGACATTATTTCAGGAGCTGCTGTTTTGGCTTCACAGCTCCAAATTGTACTATTCCCATGACTGTGAGAATTTTCACTGTTCCCAATGCAGTCTGTGACTGGGCCATCAAGTAAACCATACAGGTCTTGCCATCTCTGTGAAGGAAATATATTTGTTTTCCCGTGATGTAGAGAGCAAGGCAACAAAAGTAATTTTGTTACAATCCTTACAATCGCCATCTTTAACCTTAGCTATCAGATGGACATTATTTGTCATTAACCCCCTACATTGGCAGCTGGCAGAACTGCTGAGATCAGTCTGAGCCTAGCTGCCCCGCTCACTAGCTGCAGTTTCTTATCCTCTCCTGAGCCACCTGCCATACACGTTCTGTGCCTTGATCTCCTCATCTGGGAAATGGGGCTCATCATGCATGCAACGGTGGATAGGAAGATGAACTGACTGATATGAAAAGCTTATAGAATGGTGCCTGGTACCATCAGTGCCCAATAGATTTGCTTGTTACGGTTAGTTGCTAATCCTCCATCCTGTCCGATAAATTGTCCATCGTAAACTGGGTTGACTGATACTGTCTGTCTCAGTTCTGCTTAATTGCAAGTCTGCATGTTTTCAATAAAGCTGTTCTGTGACTTCGAAAAGTTCATGTGTTTCTGCTGTAGGCAGCACTTTTCAGACTCCTCAATCGATTTAGAACATTCAAAATGTAAAAGAATGGTTTTGGTGTCTGTCAGATTTAGCCCTCAACACGATTGGGTAGAAGTAGTCATGAACACGATTTTTAGCTCTGTTTCGAAGACGTTCTGGATATAGTTTAAATAGTAAAAAATATATGGACTGAGAAAATGAGCCCACTTCCATATTGCTAATAACAGCACTGAACAGCATCAAGCTTCTGCTTCTTTCTGCTTTTAAAACACATAGTTCTAACATACTTCAAACTCCTTGTCCCAGAGAGCTGTGTCAGTAAAAGCAGAAGTCCCTCTGCAGTGCTGCTGTGTCCCACAGCATCATCTTGGTGGTGGCATATGTGGGAACTGTCTGACAATGGTGACAGGCTGGAGGTCTATTTGGCCTGGATCTGCCAGGATCTGGTCCTACCTCAGTGGCACAGTAATGAGCAACAGTCTGTAGCGCAGCTTACTCCCCACGCCAAGGGTGGTATGGAAGATGACTGTGTGCTCCTTCAACCAGTTACTGGATGATGGAATTCACATGGAAGCAAAGCAAGGGCCTGTCCAGGGAAGTTTCCCACCCATCGCCTCTGCAGCCCTGTGCATGGAGGCCAAGGGCCACATGCAGCCGGGACATGCTTCATACCAAGATGAGGGCCTTGGCTCAGGTTTTCTGTTTTATTTTTGCTCTTTGAACCACTAGAAGCTACTTGTTCAATACCTACAGATTCAACTTTGAACAGGAAACGTTAAGAGAACGTGGAATTTGACACAACATCACTAGCAAGGGAAAACGTGGCCACATTTGAAAAGTTAAACTCTTCAGTATGGTTCACATTCACAGGAACATATATGTTAGACAGACTTCATCATCTGGGTCTCATTTAATATTTTCTCAGGATCAAATCCTTCCGATTGGACAGGATGTTTTTGTTTGTGAATAATGTCCTTTCCCACTCATCTCTAATTTAACATATTCCATTGATAAAAGCACAGAACACTAAGTAGGACAAATAAAGAACTCCTTTTGGGTGGTGGGAACATACATGCTTTTGATTATGTTACATGTCATCATTTCCTGATAAGATGTTTCTGTTATTTAAAACTTCAGCGATAACATTAACTATAGGAAAGTCAGCAGTTGTGAAGTTTTATGGGTCAGCTGTTTTCAATTATTTCTGAAGGAAAATGTATCTTGTTAGGTTAAGAAAAGTATAACTTTTTAGTCACAAATACTGAGCAGTGGCAACTGCAAGGTTAAGTTCCTTAGAGAAAAGATGAGTAGTGAGAATACAGCCCCCCATTGTTGGCCCGGGAGCTCTGGTGGCGTGGTGCCTAAGGCATTTGACTGCTAACCAGAAGGTTGGTGGTTCAAACCCACCAGCCACTCCTTGGAAGGAAGACCGGGCAATCTACTTCCATAGAGGTACTGCCTCGGAAACCCAAGGAGGGGTCTCTATGATTCAGATCTGACTCGACGGCACTGAGTTTGGTTTGGTTTTTTTTATTGTTGGCCCAGGCTCGTGGCCTTGAGTCTTGTCAGTGGTGTGTTGGGGTAGATGGGGGTTAAGGCATGGACAGGATCTCAGAAGAACTGAAACCGAGTTGAGAAGGGGAGACAAAGTCAAATTAAACATGAACCCTGGAAAAACCTGGTCTGTCTGGTGGGGTCATGATTAATTATGCAAATGAGGGAAGGAGCCAGTGAAACAAGCAGGCAGAGGAGGAGCATCTTGGGGTGGTTGTAGATAGAGAAACGGAGTTGAGTCGGTTTGGGATGAGAGACAAAGAGTTTAAGTCCATTCCCTGTTTAAAACTCGAAGTGCTGTTCTCACCCAAGGGCCCGTCTGTGTTTTTCGTAACACTTGAGGTGAGACCTTAGCTCCAATTGTTATTTTGTGTCCTCCCCGCCCCAACACCCACACACCCTTGGAGAAAGGTTTAGATTCTTATTTTCATAGTAAGTCTTCAGTCAGGGTCCTGGAGATCCAGCTGGCTTTCCTTCACTATAACGTTACCTAGAGGCCGTGGAGAAGTGTGCGTACGGCACAGCATTTAGTGAGCTGCTTGGTCAGGAAGTTTAATTTGGAATCATGCCGACTGGGCACAGTTCCACCATGTGTGTGTTTCGTCTGAGTCCAGATGTCGGGAAGGGTGCGAAGCTAGTAAGTGAGCTGATAGACAGGAGGGCATGGAGAGAAGGGGAAGGGAACTGCATTTCATCATAAAAGCAAAAATGCTGACTGTCCACTGACTTAGTGTTGAGTAGTGTCGCTGGTTGGGCCAGGGGCGCGTGCTGAGGATGGGAGACCCTTCAGAGATGGTCTCAGTTCTGTTAGCGTGCCCCTGTGGGCTAGGCTTGTTGGCACCAAGCCAGAAATGAGGCATTCTTGACATGAATCAGCTTGGCGCTTTCCTTCAGTTGTGTCGAGTCGATTC